AAATCTCACATCTCTGGTTAGAACGATGCTGAGGTATTTTATTTTTTTGCGTGGCTATTGTGAGTGGAATTGGGCTTTTTATTTGGTTTTCTGTCTGTTTGTTGTTGGCATATAAAAATACAATTTCTTTTGCATGTTGATTTTGTGTCCTGAGACTTTGCTGAAGTCCTTTATCAGTGCAAGGAAGTTTTTGACAGGTTCTACTGGGTTTTCAAGGTATAACATCATATCAACAACAATGAGGGATAACTTGACTTCCTCTTTTCTTATTTGGATACCCCTGATTTCCTTCTCTTGTCTGATTGCTCTAGCCAGAACTTCCAATGCTATGTTGAACAGGAAGGATAAGAGTAAACAGCCTTGTCTTGTTCTAGTTTTCAGGGGAAATGCTTCCAATTTTTGTCCATTTAGAAATATGTTGGCTGTGGGTTTATTGTAGATGGCTCTTAGTATTTTGAGGTATGTTCCCTCTATGCCTAGTTGTACAGACATTTTTATCAAGAAGCAAGGCTAGATTTTGTCAAAAACTTTTTCTGTGTCTAATGATATAAACATGTAGTTCTTGTTTTCACATATGTTGATGTATTTAATTGTATTTATGGTCTTGCAGATGTTGAACTAGCCTGACATCCCAGAGATGAAGTCTACCCCATATCTTATATCCCACATCTTGTGCCCCACATCTTCAAAATAAAATTTAAGAAAATAAACTTGCTAAGAGGGTAGATCTTAAATGTTCTCATCTTACACACACAAAAGGTAACTATATGAGGTGATGGATATGTCAATTAGCTTCATTGAGGTAATCATTACACAATGTATATGACCATCAGAAATCATGTTGTATACCTTAAATTGTACAATTTTTAATAGTCAATTATAGTTACTAAACCTGGGGAACAAAAGAAATTCAGAAGTGCATCAGTGATATAAAGGTCATGTATTTGGCAACATGTGTATTGACTTCTATTAAAGGTAAAATTTCTTAATTTCTTTGTTTTCTATTCCTTTCTACCCATAGTATTCATTGGTCAGAGATGCGAAATACCAAATGTATCCTCCCAAAAAGATGAGAAACAAGAGTATTGTACAGCTATGGGGGCTCCCAGAAACTATTACTGAATCCCTGAAGACTCAGTGTTGAGTCTGCAGTATTGATTATAACCAACTTCTTCCATGGTCACAGTCTCAAACTCACCCAGGGGAGAAAAAGACTTACAAGAGTCTGAGAAGAGAAACTTACAGGAGCTTTATCATGTGTGACATATCATGTGTGACATATGGCTGTTAGTGGCCAAGTCAGTACTTTATACCACGTGTAACAGTCAATCCAGTCCACCTTTTCTAGGGTATTTGGTTGATGTTTCTTTACTCTATTCATTTTTCATGTCTTATTCTGATTTGTAAGTCAGATAGACTGAAGACTGAGCAAGAGTTAATAAGTTGTTTTAACCATGTTAGATAAGCCAATGCTTCTCTTTAATTTTCTTGACATTGCACTCTCCTGTTGCAAGTAATTTGTGTTTGGATTAGTAAGGACAAACCAAAAGAGAGAAAGACAGAAATCATTGTCCTCTAATTAAATTAATAGGAAGAGTAAGGATATATTTCAGTATCTTAAAACTACCCAGCATAGGATGTAACAAGTGTTGACAGAAGTCCTAACAGGAGTTTGAGTAATTCTAGCTGCTATTTGAGGTGGGACTGTGGTTGAACAAGACTTGAATCATGTAGAGTAAAATCATCCTATTTTCACCTTTAAAACAATGTTGTAATGAAAACCATTTATCCATAATACAAAAAAATCAATTCTTGCTTTATTGTGGATGTGGATGATAAATAGTTGTGCTGTGTTGTATGTTGATAGTGCTCATCTGACAGGAGTTTTAAGGTTGCTAGGAGAAGAGACAATGTCATCTACCTCATGTTTTGAGCATGTAGTAAGTTCTCAGTGAACAATTGTTATTGATTGAATCCATAATTAAAGGTAATAAGAATGGCAAGGATAAAATAAAATACATACTTCTTTCCCCATTTCCAGAACCATGTTAGTCACCAGTCTTCCATTTGATTTTTGGGGAAAACTGGCACATTGCTTCCCATATACACTCCACACTCTTATCCTAGTAAAGTACGAGCAACAATATTAATGACAGTGGCTATTATTTATAGGGTACCTTCAAGATAACAAGAACTTAAATTATATTCTCTAATTTTCAGATTAACCTAAAAGGCAGTAATTGTTAATTTTTTTATTGCTAAGTAACCCCATAAAATTAAATAACCTGCAAAGTTACACAGCCAGAGAAGCTAAATGTAATATTTAGGTACATAGAAAGTTGCATTTTACAGTTGTGTATTCAAGATACAACTCTTGCAATCTCTATTGTAAATTGGTTTTTCTCTCTAAGCTTTCATTTCCTGACTACAAAATAAGTATTGTAATTTTATCTTTCCCAATGGATTTTTGTGAGGATTGAGTGAGATATTCAATGGAAAGAGCTTAGTAAAGTGCTTGAGATATATTGAGACATACACACACACACACACACACACACACACACACACACACACACACACACACGCAGCCTCACACCAAAGCCTGTGTTTTCAGTCATACTGGCCCTCAAAAACTTATGATTCCCCTAAGGTACTATGCTCTGTCTTCACTTCTATGCTTTTGTGAATTTATCTGCCTTTCGCCACCCAACTGAAATTTTTTTTCTCGGACTACAACATGAGCAAAGATTAATCATGTTCTTTTTCATCATTCCGGTCTACAAATAGCTTCTTCAAAAATCATTTATGCCTCCCAAAACTAAGCTATGTCCTCACAGAATTTAGGATATTATTTCTCTCATAGTACTTACTATGTACTGTAAGCAAAATATGAGCCTACTTATCTATATCTGTGAATAATCTGTGAAGTCCTCAAGAACAAGAATTATTTATTTAGTATCCTTTTATTTAGTATCCCTTAACACTCAGCACATGGCTTGAGTCATGAAATATGCTCAACAGATAAATCAAGGCAGGGATACATGGAAGAAATAGCTGAATTACCAATATTGTCATTCATGTGGAAATTCCAAGTCAGAGTGAGTATGTAATGAAAAAGAAGAAGAATCGGGGAGTTGAAAAACTTATTACAATGGCTACATCTATCAGGGATCCTTCCCTTGAGACAAAGTACATACTTAAAGGCCAAATGTTGTAGAAGGCCATGCTTTCGTATAAATAATTCAGAATCTTTCCTTTTTCACTTCCCAAATATTTGGGAACCTAAGTTTACCTCAAAGTACAGATACCAAATCTATCCAACTCTAGTACTGGCAGTGCTGTATCCAGATCACATAGAGTTTCTTGAAGAAAACAGTGGCCCTGAGCAGTGCTACTCAAACTTTATAAAAAAAACTTTAGCCAGGCTCGGTGGCTCAGCCTGTAATCCCACGCCTTTGGGAGGCTGAGGTGAGTGGATTGCCTGAGCTCGCGGGTTCGCGACCCACCTGGGCAGCAAGACCTCATCTCTACAATAAATCAAAAAATCAGCTGGGCATGGTAGCGCATGCCTGTAATTCTGGCTACTCGGAAGGCTGAGGCGGAAGGATCGCTGGAGCCCAGCAGGTTGATGCTGCGGTGGCCGGGAGCAGCCACTGCACTCCAGTCTGGGCGACAGAGTGAGACTCCAGCTCAAAAAAAAATAAAATATTTTAATGTGACCATATCAATATTTATATTCTAATTAAGTTGTTCTGGGAATTCACAGTTTTCATTAGATTGTACTCTATCTCTCTGAGTAGGAATTTCACACAAATTACAGACTATAGTATGCAAGATTTTCAGAGAAACAGAAGCAATGGAAGATAGATAGACGAGAGAGAGAGAGAGAGAGAGAGAGAGATATTTTCTTCTTGACTCGTCTTTCTCAACTTTGGCTGCACATTAGAAAAACTTGGGAAGATTTTTTTTAAATTTAATACCAGGTCAATTGGCAGCTCCTCCACCATTAATTAATCATAAATTGGGGAATCTTCTTCTAAGCAATGTTAATGTAGAGCCTGCATGGGAACCACTATTCTACCAGTCTATGAGCATCAGTCAAAATCTGGTCCAAGTCCTGGTGTGCTCCTCAAGATGCTTGTTACTGGTCATAACAACATAAGTACTGAAACTGAGAGTGTCTCTTAATCTATTTGGGCTGCTATAACAAAATATTATAGATTGAATGACTTACAAACAACAAAAATTTATTTCTCGCAGTTCTGAGGAAGTTCAATATTAGGGCAGCAGGAGATTTGACGTCTGGGGAGAACCTCTTTCCTGGTTCATAGATGACGCCTCCTTGCTGTGTCCTCACTTGGTTAAAGGGTTAATGCAGCACTTTGGGCCTCTTGTATAAGGGCACGTATCTCATTTATGAGGGCTTCATTCTCGTAATCACCCACAAAATCACCCGTCTCCTAATATCATCACATTCACGATTAGATTTCAAAATGTGAATTTGGGTGGGATACAAACATTCAGACCACAACAAAGTGTTTAGAAGCTTTTATAACAATATGACAAATTAATTGTAGGTCTGTTGAATCTAATAATAAAAACAAATAGACTAGTGGGAAAAAAAGAAATATGTTGCTATACTGTGGAAGAGGGCTTCTGAATAACTAAATATATCCCTCTGGTAATGAGACTATCCTGGACTCCGATTTGTTTTTATTTTAAATATGTGTGATACAATTTAGGATTATCCTGGGCTGTTATTCTCTGAAAGCTGAAATGTTAAGATCAGTGATTAATTGTACAGGCAGAGTATTCAGTGCACCTGGATACAACAGGGTTAATCGCAGGAGTGGGGTAGGTGGGGTTACAAACCAGGAACACATGCCCTCCAAGTTAGATAGCTTTCTTTCTTTTTAATTGCCCTTCACACACACACACACACACACACACACACACACACACACACACACACTTCTCTCTCTCTTTCTCTCTCTCTCTCACATAACACGGAAGGTGAGAGCTGAATGAAGTTTTCTGGGTAATGGCTTGAAATGTTTTCCTTATGAGAAGTGGTGTTGAGTTACAGCGTGCAGACCAAGAACTGGGAGGAGAGAAGCAGCAGCCCAGCCTGGCCAGCCCCCACCTTTTCTTGGGCTTGTAGAAAAGTAGATATGGACTCTCAGAGACAAGACAAGTGATATGTTGAACTGTCTGGTGACTGTAATCAACTGCTCCTGGAGTGACCAGAGGCCACTGTTTAGTAGGGTTGAGCCAGGACCAGCCAAGCAGGCACAGATGCTCTGTTGTGAAATGCCACGCAGGCAGAGACTGACAAGCGGTAGGAGCTGAGCTTTCCCCTTGGACTGCTGTTTCCTGCTGTGCTCAGGGGAGGAGGGTGCTTTCTGCCAACTCTGCTGCTGCTGCTGCTGCTGCTTCAACCCCCTCTCCACTCAAGGTAAGCAGGCTAACGGGAGGGCAGGGTGCAAAGGAAGCCTTTGTACCATGAACAGGATCCGAAAGTTTTTCCGAGGAAGTGGGCGAGTCTTGGCATTTATATTTGTAGCTTCTGTCATCTGGCTGCTCTTTGACATGGCAGCTCTCCGCCTCTCATTCAGTGAGATCAACTCTCGGGTCCTCAAGGAAGACATCGTGAGGAGGGAGCAGATAGGATTCAGAGTTCAGCCAGACCAAGAGAAGATTTTTTACAGCAGCATAAAAGAGATGAAGCCTCCACTAAGGGGACATGGGAAGAGGGCATGGGGCAAAGAGAACTTTAGAAAGACTGAGAAGAGTGTGCTTAAAGTTGAGGTTGACTTGGACCAAGCCCAGAGAGAAGGAAAAGTGAAGAATGCCCTGGTAAGAGGCAAGATTGTGCCTTTGTGGCATCCTGCACATCTGCAGACCTTCCCAGTGACTCTTAAGAAGGAGACAGAGAAGAGAGCTATCAAGACTGAAGCCTTCTCTCTCCAGGAGATACCAAAGCAAACAGCAGCTCAGGGGGCTCAGAATATCCCCTTCATAGCAGCAAAAGGAACTCCACTGGTTGAAACATCTGTACGTACAGGACCTGGCATTATAAAACAGGAGACTCTGAAGAGTCATATTCGCAGCAGTGACACATCAAAACAAGCAGCTAAAAGAGATTTGAATGGGACCATCAGTCTTAGTACTGATGGTTCGAAACAGCAGTCACAGGCAGTAGCAAATGAAGGGACACACCCTGCCAGCCCACGAATGCCCAAATCTAGAGAAGCCCTAGCCTTAAATAAAACTCAGCCTCAGAACAAAGAAGTAAATGCAACTAAACACAAAGCTAATAAGGGTCTTCTTTTTTCCAAGTTTGTTGTCAATTCAAATCACTTAAAGAAGCAATCTGTTAAGACACTATTGGGAGGCTTGCCAAAAGATGATGGAGCTGAGGGGGCTCATGGAAATAAACTCAATTTCTCCGAAAGCCATGTTGTGATTATAACCAAGGAGGAGGAGCTAAAGGCAGATCCCAAAGAGGTTCCCAATTCTAAAATCAAGACTATATTTCCTGAAGTATTGGGTAAAAACCAAGATCAACACATTTTCAGGGATAGAAGTGAGACATCTTTCTCTTCACTTGATCTACAGAGAGCAACACCATCTCAAACCAGTCGAGCTTTACTTGGGAGGTTAGAGCCAGCAAGAATCAACTTAACTGCCAAGGCCCAACCTGCAGAACACAACCAAAGTCATATAAAATCCCTTTTACCTGAAATCCCAGGAACGCACCATGTGTTAAAAATTGATGTGACACTTTCTCCAAGGGACTCCAAAGCTCCAGGGCAGTTTGGACGTCCTGTGGTTGTTCCCCATGGAAAGGAGAAAGAGGCAGAAAGAAGATGGAAAGAAGGAAACTTCAATGTCTACCTTAGTGATTTAATCCCAGTGGACAGAGCCATTGAAGACACAAGACCTGCTGGGTAAGATCCATTTCTCTTCCCTTTCTTCACATCCAAGTATTTTGGTTATGATTTAGAGAGTATTTATTTCTATTTTTTTAAGTGTGATTTTTACTCACCTAGAGAATTATAACAACATTAACCATTAGATACCATTCAAATATTTTACCATCTACACAGAAAAATTCTCATTTTAGCATATGTACTGAGTTCTCTTTCTATACTTATTTCTCTGAGACTTTGGTCCTCACTATTAGCTGATGTTCAACTTCCTTCCATTTGTTGAAAATGTATTAAAATGATTAGATGAACTCAGTTCATCATAAGATATATATGAGTGGTGACACTTAAAGTATATTCCCATTAGAACAGTGACAATAAAGTGAATTCCCAATTTTGAAACTTTTTATTATCAGAAAATTTGTCAGGAATATATTGGGAAAGGAGCACAGAGAAGGGGTCTTCTAGACCTCCCTGGAATTATATTTTACCCTGCAGAATTCTGCCTAATTGTGAGTAATGATAACCGTAATAGCAAGAGAAGAAGTGACTTTACTCCCTAAAATTTGATATCCTTTGTAGGTGGACATGATAGACATTTCAGGTATTTTAGGAATTCATTCAGTGACACGGGAATAATAATATTGGAAAAAGTCAATCAGTCAATAACAAACAAGCACCTACAGGAGATACAAGAGCATAATAATAATCACTTATATTTGTTGAATTTCACCTTTTACAAAGAGCCTGCCAACACATCAATGAACTTCATAACAGTCCTATAAAGGAGGTGGTAGGCATTATGGTTCCATTTAACAAACAGGTGAGGGCACTCAGAAGCTACGTCACTTTCTCAGGTTGTGTGGCCCTAAGGCTGCCCAATGGGCCTTCAGGAACCATTCCTTTAAAGAATTTAATTCTTGTCACCCTATCACCAGAAGGTGGATCAAATCATAGATATCTGATCTGATTCAAATACAGTTGGGTCCCTGTCTCTCTTAGGCCCACTCATAAGTGAGCATACTTTGTACCCACGTGTTCACTATCCAATAATTGATAATACAACTCTAAGTAGGACTTGACATTCAATTCCCTAAGTCAAACAATGTTTGCCTGGAGGTCAGAATTAGAGGATATAAAGATAGAGACTTAGCACATGTGGTATGTAAACAATGGCCTTGTTTGGCTTCAACTCTCCATTGTGATCTAGGCAGTCACCATTACAGGTTTTTAGTCAGTAAGAAGAGCCTCTTCACTGTGATGTTGGCAAAAATGAGGCCATTTTCTATTTCTTAGCCATCGGCTATCATCCATGAACTAACTACCTGCTTAGACCAAGCACACTATGCCATTTCTGTTCCTCACCCGGGTGATGCAATCTTGAGGAGAACACAAAATTACTCAAAGATGAGGAAACTGAGGCCCCGGGAAGCTAAATTGTCTGTATTCATATACATTTCTCTAGTAATTGTGGAGAAATGATTAAAAATCCATGCTCAAAATTATTTTGTGCCATCTCCCATCTCTAATTACCTTCAAAAAGGATCCTAAAAATTATGTTGAATCAACTCTAATCTGAAATCCTGCATCCCACAGGATCATACATGCCAGCTTTGAACACAAAACAGGAATGAAGAAGCTGTTAAAGCAGCTTCATTTTTACATGGCCATATTGACCCTGCAGATAGGACTCTGGGGGAGGAATCAGATACAGCACAGAAGCATGAACTCCAGTTCCAAATCAGAGAAAAGGCAAGTGTGTGGGGGCCAAAAGCAAGTGATAATGATGTTTGCACCGATGAGACTTATTGAAAGTTCATGGTTCCCAGCACTTGTTAATTTCTGTAATTTGGTCTGTGGAAGTTAAGCTTTGCAACCCAGGAAATTTACAGTCAGGATTTGTTTTCTGAAGGAGGTTGTCCCAGCTGTAGGAAAAACTGACACCTGTGCTTGAGATGATGAGTCAGAGAGCATGTGGCCAGGCCCCCTCCCTCTTATCACATAACCCACCTTGGCTAAATATAAGTACATTCTCGGCAAGCTGCCTGGCTAGTGCTTTGTTCCGCCAATAAGGCTATAACCACCAGGGAGCATACACATGGGGCCTCACAAAGTATTTTTCAGCCCTTTTGTGACATTCTTCCTTAAAAGAGGATAATTCATTTTTTCTCTTTTACCCAAATACTGACTACAAATATGTGCAAATTGTGTATTCGTATGGATAAAGTTTAGAAGAAAATACAAATGAAAAACATTTGATTCATTGAGTTGGCAAGATTTGGGGTGAAATTTTTTTTTTTTTTTTTTGAGTGGAGTCTCACTCCGTCACCCAGACTGGAGTGCAGTGGCCACTCCCGGCCACCGCAGCCTCGACCTGCTGGGCTCCGGCCATCCTTCTGCCTCAGCCTTCCAAGTAGCTGGAACTACAGGCACGCGGTAGCACACCCGGCTAATTTTTTGATTTATTGTAGAGATGAGGTCTCACCAAGTTGCCCAGGCGGGTCTCGGACCCGCGGGCTCAGGCAATTCACTCACCTCGGCCTTCCAAAGCGTTCGATTACAGGCTGAGCCACCGCGCCCGGCCTGGGGTGAAATTTTTTTTACTTTGATTTTTAAAAAGTATTTGAGTTGGCTTACAAGAACACATGCAATAAGATTTTTTAAAAGATAATACATGTGAAAAGTCAGCATAAAGGGAAAATTATCATAAAATATAATAAGAAAATGTGTGTATGAGAAAGAGAGAATAAGATCTAGAAGAACACGGGAGGACTGACTTAAAATTAGAGTAGTAGCCCACTGCAACCTTTAAATTTCAAGAGTTTTGGAGAATATCTCCCTTACTGTCCTTCATCTTTCCCTAAAATTCACCATTATAGAGAAATAAACACTGTAACTGACATATCATAACTGCTCACTGAACATAGATTGAATAAAAAACGGATAAAAACCATAGATTTATAATTTTAATTTACATTCAATTCCTCCTAGTAAAGACAATAACTAATTAGTATCATCTTGAGGATAAATTAACTGATGTGCTAGAATGGGGTAAGCATTTGGATGCTGAGACAGGTAGGATTCCCAGGACAACTTCCAGAACTCCAATTCTAAAATCGGACTCTCTTTTCCAGATTCATTCTTCCGTCCTTTCCTACCTGAGTCCCAAGATCATTTCCAAGATGTTGAGATGCAATCTAATGGCCTTTTCCTAAAGCCCAAGAACTATCAACAGTATTACACTGTCTTTTTCAATGCTGCCCATGTTTCTTTCCGTGCAACACTAGCATACTGCACTTGACATTTTCTCCAAACTGGGCCCGCAGCATAAGAAAAACTAGTCTCATTGCCTACTTTGCCCATTATGGTCTTTACCATACACTGCAGCTTTTACACAGCGATTGCCTCACACAGCCTCTGCATCCTCACCCTGCAAGGCCCTCAACATTATAATCTACCATTGCTCAAAATCCTAATCATTATAATCTACCATTGCTCAAAATCCAACTATAGCATTCCTCTACCTGGACCATAACATGACTGTGACCCCTAAATTCCTACGACTCAGTATGCAGCACTTCTCAGTATGCAAAGTGTTACTGAAACACTCCTTATTGTGTGTTCTTCACTAACGGGAAACTTGTGTGTTTGTTTTGTCTTCTTAGTGAAATTATAAGCTACCGAAAGAAACTTTCTCTTTAGTTATATTCTGTACTCCCTTAGCACAGATCACAGTGCTGTGCAGTCAAAAGAGACAGGTTTACACAATTTGGATTTCCAAGGTATGCTTCTCTGAAATGATTTTTGAAAGTTGATACTACTTTAAAAAATAATTAAGGTAGCAATTCAAATGAAGCTTGAGATAAATAAATAAATGCAATAAAAACATTAATTAATGAAGCTTCTTATAAATAAATAGACTTCCTACTTTTTCACATTGAATATACGGAATGTATTCGAATCTAGTTTAAGGTCAATACATCCTGTTTAATGCTATGATCTATTCATTAATTCAAGTTTATTCCTTGTTTCATATTTTGTTATCATTTTAGTCTTTAATTTTAATGTTTTGACTTCCAAGGGTGAACATTTTTTAAATTTTATTTACAAGAATGTTTTATGTCAGTGTGTAAAATACGACTTCATTGTTGCCTAGAGTTTTTGCTTACAAAATATGCTTAAAATTAAATGTTTTTTGACAAGGTATTTTAAAGTTCTACATTTAATCTTTTTATATAAAAAGCTAATTCTTGCAGTTTTTGCTCCTAATTATTGAAATTTGTTTCTGTCAGCAACAATCAAAACACACATACACACGCATGCACAAACACACATTTTGCTAAAACGTACTTCCTATCTACTGAAGACCCAGGGCAATTCTGCTTGGAAAAGTCTATCTTTTGGCCTACAGTTATAGTTAAGACGGAACTCCAAAAATGAACATATTTTAGGAGTATACTTCCTGAATCTGAATTTAGAGAAAAATGACTCAAAGGAATTTTTGCTGCCAGCATTTAGTTTTTAAAGTACAATAAGAATTCTGGCGTGCTTGTCTACCACTGCTGTGTCATCATAAGTTTACACAATTGCCTAATTTAATGCTTTCTTTTCTTACAGATCTCTGGCAGGCTCCTCAATAAAGCAATTAAAATGGGTCTTTATTCTCTTAGCCCAGAGCCAGGACTGTCAACCAATAATTTGATTCCTTCCTACACAGCCAAGGAGAGTTTTTTTGGGCACGTATGAAAGTAAAAGATGGCACCATGCATTTGCCACAAGCCAGTCTAAATTACTGAGGAGAAGTAAAAACTTTCTCGAACCTTAATTTTGACCCTAGTAGGGTCAGAAACCATCACTAATGAGTTACTAGATGAGAAAGAATAGGAGGAGAAGCTAAAAGAGAAAATAAATGGATCAGGTATCTTCCCAAACACCAGGCTTCTAAAAGTTTATCGGGCTGAGGAAAAAGAGAAACTTTAAAGCTAAACAAAATTCATTTTTAAAAATTTTTATATAGAATA